CACCTGCTCTCTGAGAGCACTCCTCAACAATCCGACATACGCGAGCAGTACAACCCCATTTTCCGATCATTAAGTACCGACGCCGAAAAAGTAGTTGGCTTTCAGCCCAATTTTGAGGCCGAAAGAACAACTGGTACGATGAGTGATGTCAAGAAGGCGCAGATACAAAAGACGGGTTAGGCGACTTACGGAAGGCTTCAAGACCGGGGCGAACTCCTGTAAGAACAACAATGGCGCTTTAGTGACCGATGTCCAGAATATACTTAAATTGTGGAAGGAACACTTTTACAGCAGCGCTGAAAGTAGTGGAGAAGACGAACCCGAGTCCCCAGTCGATGATGATGGAGTAGCTGTCCCACCGCCTGACTATGAGGAGGTACGATTTCGCGGCTAAAAAACAACAAAGCTGCTGAAGCTGACGGCCTGCCAGTCGAGCTATTCAAGCGCGGCGGCGAGGAGTTGATGAGGTACATGCAGATGGTCAGATGAACGCATGCCCGACGCCTGCAGTTATGTGTGCTCTGCCCAATCCACAAGAAAGACGACCCCGCCATACGGCCTTATCAAGTGCATTGTGCGAAAGACTGAAGCCCACCGTTAACGAGTGATTGGACCTTATCAGCGTGGCTTTAGGCCTGGAAAATCAACCATAGATAAGGTATTCACCATACCCCAAATCTAGAAAAGACCCGCGAGAATAGGATCGACACACGCCATCTATTTGTCGATTTCAAAGCCGCTTTCGACAGCACGAAGAGAAGTTGCCTTTATTCCGCGATGTCTGAATTTGGTATCCCCGCGAAACTAATACGGCTGTGAAAAGTGACGTTGAGCAATACCACCAGCTCCGTGAGAATAGGGAAGGACCTCTCCGACCCGTTTGATACCAAACGAGGTTTCAGTCAAGGGGACTCCCTTTCGTGTGATTTCTTTAATCTGATGTTGGAGAAGATAATAAGAGCCGCAGAACTGAACCGCTCAGGCACAATTCTTTACAAGAGCTTACAATTGCTCGCGTATGCCGACGACATCATTATTATCGGTAAAAACAAGGGCTACGTCTGTTCTGCCTTCTCGGGATTGGATAGAGAAGCAAAGCGAATGGGTCTGCTGGTGAACGAGGACAAAACGAAGTATCTCTGTCATCACACAAACAGTCAGAGCATACGCGTCTTGGCACCCACGTCACAGTTGACAGTTACAAGTTTGAAAAAGTAGACGACTTCGTTTATTTGGGAACCAGCATTAACACCAATAATAATATCAGCCTTGAAATCCAACGGAGAATCACTCTTTCCAACAAGTGCTACTTTGGTCTGAGTAGGCAATTGAGAAGTAAAGTCCTCTCTCGTCGTACAAAGATCACACTCTCTAATTCACTCATCATGCCAGTGCTGGTGTACGGCGCGGAGGCATAGACAGTGAAAGCATCTGATGGGGCGACTCTTGGAGTTTTCGATAGAAAGATTCTGCGAAAGATTTACGGACCTTTACGCGTTGGTGATGGCGAATATCGCCGACGATGTAGCGATGAGCTGTATGAGCTTTACAACGATATAGACATTGTGAATTGAAATTCAGCGGCTCCGATAGCTTGACCATGTCGTTCGAATGGGCAGAAACGCTCCTGCTCTGATAATCTTCAACGCGGGCTGCGATGCTGGTAACAGAGGAAGAGGAAGACCTCCTCTGCGTTGGAAAGACCAGGTGGAGAAGGGCTTGGCTTCACCTGGCATTTCCAATTGGCGTTGGTAGTTTTTTTGGTTCCAGCTGTTCATAACACACTATTTTACAACGCTTTTTATGTATAATCTTCATGAAAGTTACATGTATCGTCGAGAACATGGTTACATGCAGAATTTTAAATTAATTATTATTATTGCCCATACAAAATGTACAAGTATTGCTTTATTAAATGCAAAGTTATGCGAAAATCTAAATATTCCTAAATAATAATAATAAATATTTATAATATAATAAATATTCCTAAATAATCTAAATAAAAGACGAAAGCAAATCAATCGTATATATGTATGTTTATATGTACATTTATAAATGTATGGCATCCCAGTCGCTCAATGCAGAAGGAACACCAGTTATGTATAGGGAAAATAAGTTAATATTTATTTTAACTTAAATCTACAACATCAAGATAATTGTAAAAATCACACGCCTGTTTTATCTCCTCGAAGCCGGAACAGAAAGAAAGAGTAAGAATATGCCGCTGTCAAATTGGATTGAGCAGTGTTGCATTTTATGTGTTGTCGCAGCGTTACCACAATACTCCCCCAGACATCTAGGTCGCGTAGCGAGGTGGGAGTCTGACTAAACGTCCAGCTCTTGTCTTCTTCTCGGAGGACGTAGGGTCTGCAACGTCTTCTTGAAGTTCGAATTCGTTTGGGCTTTGCGAGCCTGCAAAAGGCTGGCATACAAAAGCAGGTTTGATGCGGTCTATTGAAACTGTAACTGATTTGTTGCGTATTTTAACTTTATATGTTTTACTTGAGCGTTCCTCTACCTCGTATGGTCCGTTGTATGGTGGTGTCAGAGAAGGTCGAACAGTTTCGTTACGCACAAAAACGTGAGTAGCTGTGGCGAGTGCTGGAAACACCAAAGGCTTGCGCTTGTGGTGATGCGCTGTGTCTGTCGGTTGCAAATCGTGCATGTTAGCTAACAACGTTTGGACAAATTCTGATGGAGATGCAGTTCTGCGGGTTTCACACATATCTCCCGGAAGTCTGAGTGTAGTACCATAAACCAACTGAGCGGGTGTTGCCTTGATATCTGGTTTGTACACTGATCGGAGGCCAAGCAGAATAAGTGGAAGCTGGTAAGACCAATTTGTTGAATTCGTACACATAATCGCTGTTTTGAGAGTTCTATGAAACCTCTCAATTAAACCGTTCGATTGCGGGTGATAAACCGTCGTTCGCAAATGTGTTACGTCTAATGGTTGCGATAACTCTCGAAAGAGTGTCGACTCAAACTGCCTACCCTGGTCGGTTGAGATGCGAAGGGGCACTCCGAAGTGCTTGATCCACCCGTTAAGTAATGCGAGAGCTATGGTGTCTGCGTTTACGTCCGATAGCGGGATTGCTTCTGGCCATCTGGAAAATCTATTAATAATCGTTAAGCAGTATCTATTACCATTTGATGGCGGCAAGGGGCCGATGATATCTATATTTATGTGCTCACATCGCACCGAAGGTAAATTGTACCTTTCAATTGGTGAAGTGACGTGCCTACCCACCTTTGAGCGTTGACATGGTATGCAATGCGTTACGTATTTACTAACGTCGGCTTCCATATTCTCCCATACAAACTGTTGCTTCACTAATCGCGCGGTGGCTCTTTTTCCTGGATGCGCTACATTGTGCAACTTCGCAATGACGGCTTGTCGTTGTGGAGCTGGTATATAAGGACGCGCTGAACTGCCGGAAACGTCGCAAGTGATAGGTGTAGCGTCTGGAGACAATTTTATTTGTTTGAACTGTAATGTTGTGTTGTTTGATTGCATTAGTCTTTGAAGTTCTTCGCATGTTTTTTGCTGCTTAGCTATCTCCTCGTAATCTATAACGCCATCTACAGCGATATGGACGGCGTTGATGCGCGAGAGGGTATCTGCAGTGATGTTAGCAGCTCCTGGTATGTGCAGTATGCTTGTTGTGAACTGGCCGATAAGGTCGAGATGACGAATTTTTCTAGGTGACGCATTGTCTTTCATTTGTGAGAAAGCAAATGTGAGTGGCTTATGATCCGTTGCTACCGAAAATTGTCTACCTTCAAGTAAATGTCTGAAGTGCTTAACAGCGGTGTAAATCGCGAGCAATTCGCGGTCATATGTGCTGTATTTGCACTGCGCGGGTGTAAACTTTCTTGAAAAAACGCGAGTGGTTGTGGTTGCCCATCGATAAGCTGGTGTACTACCGCGCCCATAGCTGTATCGCTTGCGTCGGTGCATAATATCAAGTCAGCCGATGGCGCCGGGTGTGCTAACAGTATAGCGCCTGCTAAGTCGTCCTTACATTTTTGAAAGTGATGCATTGATTTATTGTCCCAAGCTATAGGAGTTCGGTCTTTCTTCTTGTTCCCTGTAATAAGTGCAAGTGCTGCTGTTGGTCAATTTCGTGTGGTATAAACCGACGATAGAAATTTACCATGGCCAAGAATCGTTTAAGCTCGAATGCGAATTTTGGCAGGGGAAATTTGCGAATGGCTTCTACTTTTGTGGGTAAGGGGCTTATACCTTCCGGTTGGACTAGCCTAAAAACACGATTTTCGCTGATCTGAATTTACATTTTGAAGGATTTATGGTCAAAGAATGTTTTCGTAGCCTTTCAAAAACTGAACCAAGGAGCCACGTATGCTCTTCGTTTGTTGTGGATGCGACGCAAATGTCATCCACATAGCTGAATGCAAAGTCCAAATCTCTCAATGCTTCATGCATATACCTTTGAAAGGTTTGTGCGGCGTTTCGCAAACCGAAGGGCATACGTACGAACTCGAATCGGCCGAACGGTGTGGTGACAGCGGTCTTTGGTATATATTGTACGGCTGCACACCGACAGCGCATATAGCTCGGCTTGCCAATTTCGTCTGCCCATCGATGATAGTGGTGTTATGCATATCAATTAATATGTTGTACTTACTCAGAAAGTCTGCGCCTATTATATTGTGCTTTGTGTCAGCAGCGACAAAAGTCCACTTGAAGGGTCTTCAAAGTCCTAGGTCGAGGGTTAATCGTATGACACCAAACGTTTCTATTTTCGTATTGTTTGCGGCATATAATTGAGGTGTAGTTTGTGCCAGTACTGGTCGTTTAACAGCTGCAGCATTTACAATTGAAACGTCTGCACCTGTATCAATTAAAAAACGAAGTTTGGAACGGTGATCGTTGATAAAAACTCTGTGGGTGTTTGGCCGTGAACTTGTAAAATTAGACATGGTGCAGCCTGTTTGGTTTGAAACGACGGCATTAGCTGCAGAAGTCGCCGTCGAGATTAGTTTTTTTGTTCCTTAAAGTTGCAAGGATAATTGCATTTTTGCGCCTTGGTTCCGAATATCTTGTGATACCAACACATTTGTTGCGAGTTCGCAGAGGAACGTAGAGGGCTGTTTTGGCGACTTGGAGACCGTGCTCGTTGATGGCTTTTATTGCTCTTTTTCTCAATGCGTGCGAGTGCTCGTTCAATACGCTCGATTCTGCTTTCAATGGAAGCATTGGAATCCGCGTGTGCCGAGCTTTGTTGGAGGGGCCGTGTAGAGGAGCCGGCGCTAACAGCCTCTACTGAATTGACCCGGACAACGTCGATGATTTCACCAGCTATTGACGCCAGTTGTTCCAGTGTCATCTCAGGGTTACCTTTGTCGATTCCAGTGATTACGGCGCGCGCTGAGACAGGTAGCTTTTGCAGCCAAAAATCTTTTATGAGTTTCTTGTCCGTAGTGACTCCGGTTCTTTGTAACTGGGACAACATGTGACTAGGTTTGTTGTCACCAAGCTGAATCCCCGAAGTGAGTTGCTCCAGGCGTGCGATTGGCGAGATCGAAAATTTGCTTAAAACTGCGGTGCGAAGGGTGGCGTACTTATCCTTTACTGGAGGATTTCGTACGATATCGAGGGTTTGTTCGTGCAGGCGCTCATCCATGTACATTACTGCGATATTAAACTTAGCGTTGTCCCGTTGGTTCTGGTTCATTTTGCCGAAATTGTTTATGGAGAAAAACGCTTCCAAGCGGGTGAACCATGACTCGATGCTCTGTAGCGAGAAACCATTCAGTAGTGGCACTTGGACTCGGGCGGCGAAACTACTAATATCAGCGCTATCGTCGGTGCAGGTGCTATTTTCGGAGGTGGTGTCGCCTGAATTTCCGTCGTTGGTTCCCATGATGCAAGTTCGCCCACGTTTCTCGGATGTTCGAACCAATATTTTAATCGGGAGGAATCCGCCTTGTGTCGTTGTGTTCAGATTCGGGGTCACCAGTTATGGCATCCCAGTCGCTCAATGCAGAAGGAACACCAGTTATGTATAGGGAAACTAAGTTAATATTTATTTTAACTTAAATCTACAAAATCAAGATAATTGTAAAAATCACATGCCTGTTTTATCTCCTCGAAGCCGGAACAGAAAGAAAGAGTAAGAATATGCCGCTGTCAAATTGGATTGAGCAGAGTTGCATTTTATGTGTTGTCGCAGCGTTGCCACAAATGCATACACACTTACATTTTCATTTGTTTGTCTTTTTGGATGCATGAACAATTTGGTAGCAGAAATAGGTAATATCAATGAAATGAAGTTTACAAATATGTACCTTATAAATTTAGGTTTATTTATTAATTAGATATGTGAATGACAACGTGGGGGACAAATATGCACATGAGTAGCGAAGCTGCCACCCATCCAATGGCAACTTACACGTCTTTATTAGAAAATATTTGAAAACTGAATTATTTCCATAAATATTTAAAATATTGAAAGATTTCTTAAATAGTTTCGGCTTAGATTAGCGAGATCTTTACTAATTGCAGGGAGAATCCGACGCTTTTATATTTTTATTATTATTTTAAAAAAACTTTCCAAGTCGAAAATAATTAACAATTGAATTGAATTATTTCCATAAATTTCGAAAATACGGAAAAAATTCATACAGACTTTCGACTTAGTTTAGGGAGATCTCTACAAAGAAAATAGAAAATAATTCTTTTCACAGTTTTTTGTTTTTTTTTTTCAAAAAATTTTAAGTCCAAAAGGTTTAAAAACTTAGTTATTTCCATAAATATCGAAAATTTGGAAAAAATGCTTACATCGTTTCTGCTTGGTTTTTTTATTAACCCAGTACCGATACATTTTTATACCCGACCGCACTTGTGCACAATGTATACATAAATGCTCAGAATGAATAGAGAAATCGATTAAGCCATGTCTGTCCGTCCGTCCGTCCGTGTACACGATAACTCGAGCAAAAACTGAGATATCTGAACGAAATTTGGTATGTAGGTTTCCGTTAATCCACGGTAGGTTGGTATTGAAAATGGGCGAAATCGGACCGTAACCACGCCCACTTCCCATATAACGGTAATTTTCGGAAATACCAAATCTGCGATATTTTAGTAGCTACTGAAGATTATTCACTCAAAATTGATATTTACAATAATTTTTAGACGAAAAATAATAATATTATAAATTTTTGGAAAATGGGCGTAGCCACGCCCACTTATGGTTACATGTGTATATCTTGGTAACCGCTGCACCAATTTCTTCCAAACTCGGCACAGTTGTTGGCCGAAAATTTTTAAAATCGGACAATAACCACGCCTACCTCCCATATAACGGTAATTTGGAGATATACGAAATCTTGGATAAATCAATAAATATTAAAGCTAATTTACTCAAAACTGATGCTTGCAACAATTATTTACCAAGAAATACGTTTATGATAAATTTTTGGAAAATGGGCGGGGCACCGCCCACTTATGATCACATATATGTATCTCGGTAAAATTTTTACCAATTTGTACCAAACACAGTACGATTATTGTGCTTGCCACATAAAAGCAAAACGTTGAAAATTATTGAAATTGGACTAAAATTACGGCCGTTTTCATGTAACGGTAAATTTCAGAAATGCTTGAAAGTGCAATATTTCGAAATGTAAGGTTGCTTATTTACTCATAATTGATACACCCCGGCTTACCATCTAGCGGTAGCTTTCGGAAAGGTGAAAAACATATATTTAATACTTGCGCCGGGTATTTAATGTTCGGCTCCACCCGAACTTAGACTTTCTTACTTGTTTCACTTGAAAATATCACAAAAATTGAAAATGCTATATAATATTTTCGATTTATTTTAGCGTTGTTTGTACAAGTCACCGAAAAGGATTTTCCTAAAAATCTATTTACAAAAAAATCTAACACCAATAAAGTTTTATAATTGAAAATCTAACAAAATATTAGAAAAATAGAAAAAATGCTATATAACATTTTCGATTTATTTTCAAGGTATTTGTAGAAATCACCGGAAAAGAGGATTTTTTTATCAAAAAATTGTACTTGTACAAAAATTTAATTTTCTTACTAAAACAATTATTGTCACAAAAAATCTAACACTTTTGGATTTTCCATTGGAAAATTTTCCCAAAATATCACAAAACTCATCAATATTCATATTTAATTAACAGTCCAAACGCTCTCGTGAGATCTAGCTCTGTTAATATTCTTCTATTCTGCTTTGTATTTTCCTTTCGCTGTTAAGTATTCCCAATATAGGCGGTTCTTAAAATGCGCTTCGCTTGTTCAGTTGGCTCGCATAATGTGGCATTCACAGTTTTCGGTCCTTCTCTATACTTTACGTTCTCATCGCCGCTGGCCAACATCTTGAAAATATTTTGGTATGATCGCAAGAATGCAGAAAGAGTCACTACGGTGTAAATTAAAAAATCTCGTTTGATTACAGCCGATCTAGGAGTAGAAATTTCTCTGCCACGTTTGGCAGGCAAACAAAAAAAAAAACAAAAGTAACCCCCATCGGTCAATGAAAATGAGTACTGGTCTATAATAAAACCGTATCTCGATTCACTAACGGCATTTTTACAACTACGCTTTTCCAATGAAAATACTCCAGCTTTTCCGCTGTCTAGATTGCACCCATTGTACTCGATTAGGGATGGGTAAATTCGATATTCGAAGCTTCGAGACCGAATTTCAATCGAATTTTCGCTCCAAAATGGCGAATTTTTGAAATCGAACTTTGTGGTGCTAAAATTCGGATAAAATCGAACTTTTCCAAAAAAAAATCGAATTTCGTCTTCACATGCAAAAAAACAACTATGCAACTTTCTTCTTTCTGAGTAAATTTGGCATCACTCTAGATAACGCACGTTTGACTTAGGGATGCAAGTCAAAAAAATACATTGACTTTTTGCCGATCTAATGCATCGATATATAGTATATAGAAATTGATATTTTCGATGCATCGCCTGAATTAAAAACATACAAGAAAATGGAACAATTAAGTATTAACTCAAAGTGAAATATATTTATTGATTTAAATAGTTGCAAATCCCATTTATAAAAATAAATTCATGTACCGTATATGAAAATCGATATTTTCGATGCATTGAATGAATTAAAAATAGACAGGCAAATTGAACAATCGGAACTTCGATAAATGTTTAAGTATTAACTCAAAGTAGTATGTATGTTTATATTATATATACGATATACATATCAGCAGGCAGGTCTTTCAATTACACTTGCACCCCAAAAAAAAAAATTAGTGTGATGTGCATTTGACCAGACCTACCTATGGTTATGTATTTCGACCCGCAGAATCAGAATTTGAAGTCAGTTTGGCCAATATACCTTTTAGATTTCGAGAAAACTTCAAAACCCCATTTTTATTGCCGATTGTCGCTATTTTTTACGTTTTTTTTTTTTTTAATTTTCTCGAAATATAGGAGGTATATTGGCCACACTGACTTCAAATTGCGGATCGAAATAAATAACCATAATTGTGTCCGGTCAAATGCACATCACACAAATTTTTTTTTTGTGTGCCGGTGTTATCTTTCCAAACTTATCCACATTATTGAAGATTCCAGCTATTTTGATGCTACAGTAGATATCTGGGCTGAATTTACTTTTCCAATTGTTAAGAGCTCGAACATTGTTTTTTTTTATAAATTTTAACAGAAACGATATGGTTTGTGTGGAGCTTGGGGCTTTTCCAGCTGATTTTAAAAAAGACATAGCAAACCTTAAAAAAAAATTCGTTAAATAGTTAATGACTGGGGCCTCAGCGATGATAAGATAATGGCATATGTCACTGACGGAGGAACCAATATCAAAGACGCAGTGAAACAAGAATTTGGGGAGTCGAAACAACCTGTAACCTGTTTTGGTCATACTATCAATAATAATGGTCAAGCGATCATTCAAAATAACAATGACGATGTTATCGACGATGATGAAAACGAAACGGAAGGAGGCACGCTAAAGGATCTTTCAAAAAAGGTAAAGAAAATAGTAAAGTTTTTTCGAACGAGCGAGGTGGCTGCGAAGAAGTTGAGAGTTTACCAAAAATGCAACGGTCAGTCACACTTAAAACTTATTCAAGAAGTGAGAATAAGGTGGAACTCTTGTTTTAAAATGCTGGAACGTTTTATAACGTTGTCTACATGTATTGCACAAGTAATTCTCCAGCTACAAATGGATAAGAACACGAGGGCCCTCACGCCTAATATGGTCACTGCTGAAGAAGTGGACACTCTTAAAGAAGTAACGGATATTCCTAAACCTTTGCATGAAATTAGTAGTGAACTCCGCGGTGAAAAAATGTAAACATAAGCAAGTGCATTTCATTAGTTGCAGGATTAAAAAAGGTTAAAGAAATAATTAGCAACATGTTTTAGAGTCATTTTGTACTTTTAAGATGACGTAGCAGACGTTGTAGACATTTACCAATAGATGAACAAAGTGATTAATGATGAATATGGCTGTATTTTATAGGCAACAATGACCATGGAACCGACTACAGCTTTAGGCAAAATAGCAAAGGACGTCCTGTTGCTCGAGGTCCAAAAACGGTACGCAAGTTTGGATGCGGTGGTTATTTACGGTGTGGCAACAATACTTGATCCAAGGTACAAGAAGGATGCCTTCGAAAACTCAATCTATTGCTCGCGGTCTGCTGCTTTTATTGGTACATTAGACAAATAGTTATTTACCATAAACTAGACGGCCTCGTATGCCCGAGGCTTTGCCACGCGCTGAATGTGTACATAAGTAAGTACATATACGCAACAGGTGGCAACCCTATTAAAAAATGAAGCCTTATTGCACACCTAATGGCCAAGTTCTTTCATTTCACATCTTCTATTCTTCCATTTTTGTAAACAGCCGGCAACTCTGTTCAAAAAAATAAAACCTTATTGCACATCTGGATGTCGAGTCCTCTCATTTAACGACTCACTATTTAGTCCAACGAACAGCCACGTCTTATAATTTTTCGTACAGGTGGCAACCCTCTTCGAAAATATAAAACCTTATCACACATCTGAACGCCGAGCCCTTTCCTCTGAGACGTAATTTTTTTTTGATGAATGAACTGGGCAACAAATAAAAAATGCCTTCACGTATTATATGCAAGGTTGTAATTTTGAAATAGGTGGCAGCCCCACTAAAAAGTATTAAAGCATTGCACATCTGAAGATCATATCATTTCAATTGTTTTTTTTTAATTGAATGAACTGTGAAAATTGTATGTACCTAATTAGTAAAAATTGTGGTTATTTTTAAATAGGTGGCAACACCACTCACAAAAATTAATGCTTTTTGCACATACGGAGACCATATCCTTTCACTTGGTATCTCATTTTTTAGTCCAACGAACGGTGAGGATGTTATCACTTTTAATAACGTGGCAACCCTACTCAAAAAATAAAAAATTATTGAAAATCTAGAGGCCAAGTGCTTACATTTGACATCTCACATTTTGTAATTCAACGCACGGATCTTATAAAATTTTAGACAGATGGCAACACTAGAAATGCTAAGCGATACAGAATATATAAAACAAAATCTCATTCAAATCCGTTCAGTAGCTTTCGGGATTAGCGTGGTCAAAAAATCTTGGCTTTGCTTTATACTACGTAAGGATAAGATAGTCATTTTAAATAAGTGCCAACCCTACTCAAAAAAATTAATCTTGTTGTACATACGAAGGCCATGCACTTTCATTTTGGTATCTGATATTTTTATCCAACGAACGGTGAAGATCTTATAGTTTTTAAACAGGTGGCAACCCTACTCAGAAAAATAATACATTATTACACACCTAGAGGCTAATGGCATTATTCATAAAAAATAAAGTAGGTTTAAAGAGCTTTATAAATTGACGTTTTCATACATTTTTTAATTTTCAAAGGCCATAAGTCTTTTCATTTAACAGTGATGGTGAAAAACTGATGCCTACGCTAATTAGGATTGAATGTAGTAATTTTCGTAGCAGGTGGCAAATCTATTCAAAAACTAAGACATTCGTGCTTTTCTAGAGACCATTCGATTTCATTTGACACCACATTTTTTGTAATCCAACGAACGGTGCGGATCTTATAGTTTTTTTAGAGAGGTGGCAGCCCTATCAAAATTCTAAGTAAAAAAAGGTCCCTCTGCTTTCGATACAGAGTATATCAGAGAAAATTCCGTCAAAATCCGTTCAGTAGTTTTCGAGATTACCGCGTACAAAAAATCTCGACTTTCCTTTATAATATGTATTTCTGTTTTTTAAACTTTGAATAAGTGACTTATTAATAACCAGTCAAACCCAAAGTAATGAATCTGTGGAAAGTAACGCTCAGCTTCAAACATCGGACGAAGGAGGCATATGGTCATATTTAGATCAAAACATTAGCCACAGTCAATAAACAAAAACCCTTTAGCACCTTACAGGCGTTGAAAAATGATTTTCCTATGCTTTTTCCAATTGCCCAAAAATTTTTGCAAGTTATGGCAACGTCAGTCCCATGTGAGGGACTATTTTCACATGCTGGACTTATAGCAACCCAGTTGAAGAACCCTCTCTCACCCGAACACTTAAATATGTTAATATTTTTGCGGTCGATTGGGGAAGAAATGCGGGACCAGGGGCGCACCCAGGAATATATTTTAGGGGGGGTTTTATTTTTCTGCAGATATATCACCGGAAAATACTGAAAATTTTCTTCAGATAATACGCTCTTTAAAATGTATTTATGCAAGTTTTATGTACAGTATATACAAATAAATAAACGTTTTAAAATTCATAAACTGCACTTTATTTACATAAGATTAACAGAACTCAAACACTTTTAACCGACTTTAAAAAAGGGGAGGTTATCAATTCGCCGGAATACGTAACTTTGGACCACGTGAACCGATTTCAATAATCATTTTTTTGTAGAAAGATGGTACCTCAAGGTTCGTCCCGTAATTTGGTTTAGAGATCCGATGATTGGATCATGATGAAATTAACGGTACCCCTAAATTTGAATATAAGAATTGAAGTCCGTTGTGTTCTTTCCTTAAAAACTACTTGTTTAATAAAAAGTGCTATAAACTCAAGATGCGCTCAACTTTCAAAAGTACCTAAGAAAAAATTTTATTGATTCCATGAATTTTTGCACTTTTATGATCCTTTTTTCGATTTCTGGTTTCTGTCTTTCGATAGAGATGGTGATTTTTCACGATTTCTAATTTTTTTTAATATTTCGAATACCGAAAAAATTAACTGAACTCTCAAGAAAAACGAAAAATTCATATAAAACGACGGACGAGAAATGGAAAAGAAATTTTCTTCTACCAAAATTTCTTAAATCAGTTTGCAGCTCTCAAGAAAAAAATGCTCGTATATTCATTTCCTCATGAAAATTTACAGCAAAAGCAAAGCGCTTTTTCAAGCAACAGAAATTATAATAAATATTTCTTATAATTTCCTTGAGAGCTGGATTCTTAGCTTTAAGATACAGTTTGTATTTGAGGTTATTAGCTTTAGGGGGGGTTTGAACCCCAAAACCCAGCCCTTGTGTGCGCTAATGTGTGGGACATATGAGGCTATTAGCGCAAGACTTGGTCTTGGTCTGTATAACCACCCTAACAGTGGCCGTAAAAAATAAGAGCACTTTAAATATTTGGACATGTTTTGACTTACTTTTCTTTTGTTGGTTTAATTCTCATAAATTTTTTATAAAAAAATGTACATATGTAGTTCGTTCTACAACAAATATCATATATGTAAATAAAATTTTCAAACTTTTTCAAAATTTAGGTAAATTCAAGAAAATTTCCAACTTATAAAAAAGTTGGGTTGGTTTTGTAGCCCGTTCAATTTCGGTATTATAAAATGCAAATTTGAAGTGGTTACAAATTACCGTTGATTTTTAATTGGGTTGAAATTATCGTGGATTTTTTAGATTTTTTTTACACACGCAATAGAAAAAGCGCAAAACCCACGGTAATTTGTAGCCACTTAAAACTTGCCAAAATTGAACGAGCCATAAAACTGCCAAACCTAATTTTTTTTTAATTGGAAATTTTGTTGAATTTACCTAAATTTTTAAAAGTTTGAACGTTTTATTTACATATATGATATTTGTTTTATAGAATGAACTGCATATGCATATTTCTTATAACAAATTTACGAACATTAAACCAACAAAAGCAAAGTAAATCAAAACATGTCCAAATATTAAAGTGCTCTTATTTTTACGGCAACTTTAAATCCAAAATTTATTTTTTTTTCAATTGTTAATTTTTTATAACTATTTAAGTGGTACTCTTCTCAAAACATGTCCAAATATTAAAGTGCTCTTATTTTTACGGCCACTTTAAATCCAAAATTTATTTTTTTTCAATTGTTAATTTTTTGTAACTATTTAAGTGGTACTCTTCTTCTTCTTTATTGGCGCTGTAACCGCCTAAGCGATTTTGGCCGAGTCCAAAACAGCACGCCAGTCATTTCTCTTCTGGCTACCTGACGCAAATTGGAAATGCCAAGTGAAGCCAAGTCCTTCTCCACCTGGTCTTTCCAACGCATAGGAGGCATTCCTCTTCCCCTGTTATCAGCATCGCGGCTCGCGTTGAATATTTTTAGAGCGTTTCTGTCCATTCGAACGCCATGGCCAAGCCAGCGGAGCCGCTGAATTGTAATTCGCTGCACTATGTCCATATCGATGTAAAGCTCATACAGCTCATCGTTACATCGTCTACGATATTCGCCATCACCAATACGTAAAGGTCCGTAAATCTTTCGCAGAATTTTTCTCTCGAAAACTCCAAGAGCCGCCTCATCAGATGCTTTCATTATCTATGCCTTCGCGCCATACACCAGCACAGGAGTGACTTATAGAGTGTGATCTTAGTACGACGAGAGAGGACTTTACTTCCCAATTGCCTACTCAGGCCAAAGTAGCACTTGTTGGCAAGAGTGATTCTCCGTGGGATTTCAAGGCTGACATTATTATTGGTGTTAATGCTGGTTCCCAAATAAACGAAGTCGTCTACTTTTTCAAACTTGTAACTGTCAACTGTGACGTGGGTGCCAAGACGCGTATGCTCTGACTGTTTGTGTGATGACAGAGATACTTCGTTTTGTCCTCGTTCACCACCAGACCCATTCGCTTTGCTTCTCTATCCAATCCCGAGAAGGCAGAACAGACGTAACCCTTGTTTTTACCGATAATATCGATGTCATCGGCATACGCCAGCAATTGTACGCTCTTGTAAAGAATTGTGCCTGAGCGGTTCAGTTCTGCGGCTCTTATTATCTTCTACAACATCACATTAAAGAAGTCACACGAAA